GGCTGTTTCAGCCTCATGCAATATGAGGCTGAACAACAGCCTCGCATTGCCAATTTTTCTTAGGATTAAAAAAAACTCGTCGTTCGACAACCATGTATGACATGCAACTTGTAACAAGGAACACAATCGAAACAGCGACTAATGGTGATCATTGATAAGCTAAATTGGTGAAAAAATAGCCCCAAGGTCAGCGTGTCAGGCCCAGATGTGCATTCAATGAATGGTGACGGGGAAATCATGAAAACATGCACGACACAACAAAGCGAAACATGAAAAATACAAAAAAATGCGGAGCCAAATGAAAAAATGGATAACCGGGGCGGCGTATGTCATTCTAAATACTTCATTTGGAAAAACGTCATTGGGAGCGGCGTTGTGAGCCTGCCAAAGTACTGGGGTCCCTTTTCAGAGGGCTATACCTCTGTTAAGTGCGGGGCTTTTAATGAATGGTTAGCAGCATGCAACGGGAATCTTCCTACTGTTGCGTTTTCTACCCAGCTGCAATCTGAATGTTTCCCCATTCGTGACATAATTCGATGATTTCGATAGCTAGGGTAGTGGCATAGCGGGTTTTTAGCCCTTCACACAAGGATACTTATTTCAACACGCAATTATCATTCAGGATTAAAATCGTCTGGAAACCGCCCTGTCTTTTCTCTTTCCAACAAGCTTTACAGTTTTCCTGAAGACCCGCTGGTTCAGGAGATATTTTAGATGGGTCACAGGCGCGGCTACCCTCTGACGCCACCGCAATAACACGCTCCCTGCTGTGCCATTGTCAGGATATCACCATTACAGTGTGTCCTTCAAAAACACATATTTCCTTTAATTTGAAAGAGATCACGACTCGGCTACCACTCGATGAGTTTGGTGCCGGTGTGCGCCATCATACACGCTCCTATGAGGTGGTGGAAAAGTGTAAATTTTTGATTTAAGGTGTTTTTGTCCATGCAAGCAGATGTTTATTTAGGGTATGGAAAAGACAAAACGCATGAGTCTGTTTGAAACGTATTATTTAGTCATCTACCAACTTAGGGTTCATGCTATTAACCGATATTTATTTATTTATTTATTTATTTATTCTTGATATTCTTGCTATATTGCTAATAAATTTTTTATTATTTTGTAGTCCTATTTACATCCGGGTCTTCTGCAGCTTTCCGTTCCTTCCATCAACTTAGCAATGAGAACTTTTGTACTGTTTGATGCCTAGCGAGCCTACTTTCGTGATATTCCCCACGTCCCCCGCGGCCAAGTAAGTACACATTTTTGGGGATTTAGCGTGAAAAGCGGGCTGTTAAAGAGCAGTTAAATCTGTAAAGTATACATTCATAATAATTTTCATTTTTTAACATCTTGACTTCCATAGCTCTCCACTCCCACTATGAACTGCGAATGTCGAAGCCATTGTCCGCTCTGGGGTGGAACCTTGAGGTTCACGACCCCCCTCCCTTCTCCAGCGGCAGTACGACAGCCGCCCCCCCCCCTTGGGTTTCCGCAGTCACGATGGCTGTAGCCTGTGCGAAACACTTGCGCTGGTAGTGACTCGGCCGAAGGGACTTTTTTGCCTCCCCCCTGTACATACAGGAGCTACACAACAAAAGAAATGATTGCGCACTTGTAATTGACAGATTTCGAATAGAAGAAACCATTATATCTATTATCACAAAAGACTCAGTTATTTATACAGAAGCTCTTAGAATGGCGAACACTTGTCCTTTATTCAAACGAGGGAAATGATTAAAGTATCGTTAAGTGAAGTACAAAAAAGTTTTCATGGTCGTAAATGTTGCCAGATGTATTTACAAAAATAAAACTTTTGGCTATGAATACGGCTTAGTGGAAGCTATAAAAAGATAAACATACTAGTTCAGAATATTTTTGTCAGTCTTCATGGTGAACAGTAACAAGCAGCTAAGGCAGGGCATAAATTACTACTAAATACGACCCTCCAGCCCTCCCCCACTTTCCATTGCTTATTACTTACTTGCTCTTAATCTGGCATCAGATTAACGATATGCCAACTAAAACCATTTATCTGATACTAGATAAACACTCAACTGCTTGCAAATTCGTTCCCCCCCCCCCATGACAGCAACACTACGTTGTTTGCGATCAAGCTCTATGAGAGCGCCAGCACTAAACTAAATATTTACCTGCCACCAGGTAAACAATTTAGTGTTAGCGCCCTTACGAGGCATGAATCTGTCAGCACCTCAGGGTGGTCGAGCCCGCACTGCGGCGTCTAGATCAAGGTGAGCCACAACACTATCGATCGATACCGTTGGGTCGTTTTACTAGTTTAGTGAAATTGTCTTGAATTGTTGAGGCGTTTGAGCGGGCAGGTCTCATATGTTTTTTGTCCATTTCAGGCTCTGACGAAGGCGAAGACGCCGAAACGTTGGCCTAATAAAGTATTTCAATCTTGTCGAGGCTCGAAGACAAACTACATCGAATATCATCATGCCAAGATTGCAAGAAAGTCGAACATGGACTCCTAAGACAGGCCTGTTTTTGACCGACTTTTCTATAAGGTGACATATTTGGTTGAAAACTCGGTTGCTAGGGGTAGTTCGACCTCCTGAATACGAATATTACATCCGCTTGGCCTGAAGCTGTCTGGCTCCGCGCCACAGGCACCCACACCAAGTGCTCTAGACCACCGAATACGCTGAAAACTTCTCCTTCAGGGGTAGTTTGACCTCCTTGACAGGAATGTTCACACCCGAAGGTGCCAGGCTCAACCTTAGAAGAGCGCTAAATGGCGCTGGTGTCGAAAAAGTTGGCGCCAGGGCTAAAAATGAATATCATGTTCGTGATCAGGGTACCGAATAACTCCAGTGTGCAAGTTTACATCGATTTTTGGGAGAAAAGTGGTAGCGCCAAACGGGCGTCCAGCGGCGTTCGTTTGAGTTTTTGAGTACTAATAGCTGAATAGTGCCAAAGTTGAAGGTAACTCATCTCGTTATATTCCTGTAAATATTCTCCAGTTGCGGATAGATACAAATAAGCGTTGTAAGTGTAATAAGCTGTTATAAATGTACGTGACGCTGCGCATATGCCCAAAATGTAGAACCCTGTCGAGACGAAAGAAAGGCTCAAGTGGAATGTGCACGAATGTTCCCGTCTATCCTTGGTATTTCAGCACAATTCTCGTAGTGGTACTGGCGTAAAGTACGGTGTTATACGTAGGTCCGCTGCGGAATTACAATCAACTGGGCGCCGCTTTGGGTTACGGTACCGTGGCGGTAATACTGAAGTTAGCTTCTTGTATATGTTTGAGCATATTCGGCAAGCATTCCGCCTCATTACTGTTCATGAAATTAAATACCGCCTGAAGCTCATAGCATTACAGTATTTTGAAGAATGAGGTTCAGTTGAAATAGTAAGCTAAGCTTGACATAAGAAGAAGCGAAATTTTCAACCACCTGATAAAGAGGATCAACCCGCTGACAGAAATCCTCCACCTGTGATGCTGCAGGTACTCTGCGCGAGCGTCTAGCATTGCCGTGCCAACATTGCCAGTGATGCTAGGATAATCACTGAGAATTGAACCTTGAACCCTTCCAATGGCTGAACTCACCCGCGGCGAAGAACCCGAATCCAAACACAGCTGAAGCACATGGAATCGTCCATGTTCTCCTGGCAACAACCTCAACCAGACACAGGATCTTTGCGGAATATTCTCCCTCACCTCTGTTGAGGACAATATTCATTGCTACGCGACTGAGTAATTTGCCCTGAAAAGCCGATCTTGACTAGTCCTTGAGAGCACCAGAAACGACACGATCCTTGAGAAAGAGTACGAGAGCGATGACGAAGGAACATCTGAAACGTTGAGGGAACCTCTGGAGAGGAGCGGATCAGAGCGGAAGGTGTGCAATGTATGAAACTATCTGACGACTTGTGAGTGTAAAACAATGAAAGTAAGAAAAAGCAAGAAGGAAGAAAGTATAAAGAGAGGAAGATGGTCCGTTTTATCAGTGACCACATGAACCACTATGTGAAAACCTAACATCCAAACATTGCGCAGCCTTGCGCTGACTGCATCGACTTCATACTGGTGTCGTGAAGCTCCGTGTCGTGTCTGCAGCCAATAGAAAGGGGGCAAATCACCAGAACTCCGAGGCGGAAAAAGGGATCACGAGTGCTAAAGTCGAGTATCTTCTGCGTGTCTACTCTCTCCACTTCTGGGAGGAATAGAGCTAAATTTCAGGCAATCGCGTGCTGTGGTTTAAAGCAACATTAAGACAGCAACTTCTGCAAAATACTCGGAACGCAAAGGGCATTGCTCGAAAACATTCGTGAAAGTTTTTCCGCTTGTTCTTCACAAGACAGTAGGCCTTCACGAGGGTAGGGAGACAAAGTGGTAGGCGATGTTAGGGATTACTAGCGAGGTAAGTACAGAAACAAGCTGGCCAGCTCAAAGAGACTGTAAAAGCACCTGAAAATTTCTGGGAGAAACCCCCCGAATACGAAATAAAAGTAGAACTGAAGTTAAGAGAGACGATCTCGTAACGTAATCCACAATTTCTTTTAAAAACATTTTATTATGGTAAATTTCGTAAACAACAGTTAATCAAATTGGCACTAAAGCACATAACCAACCGATCACACATAATTATTATTCGGAAGAATGGATCTCGAGTGAAATCACATCTTTTTCAGATCTCTATCTACAGCTACACTTTAATCTTAGAAATGAGTGAAGTTGCCGTCCACTAAAAGTAGACTCGACACATTCAGAAAGTTTGGCTTTTTGCGAGCAAAAGACCAATAGCAAAAGACCAACATTTCTGTGAAAATTTGGTCCAAAATCAGAATGCCACTCTAAGGCTGCTTCACGCCTACCAGATAGCTAGTTCTTAGCGCATGTTTGAACACGGGGTAATATATTAGTAGGCGGGCAAGTGTTATTAGTGACTGGTCTCCGTCTTCACGGTGTGGATTTGTAGCCATCCCTCTTGAGAAGTGAACACTAAAGAACACAACAACCATTTTCACATCCCAAGACTTGCCATAGTTGCACGTCGCTGAGCCTCGTCCTCTCTCGGGCTGCTGTGCATTTCTCTACCAAGCAGCCAGTACGTAGTGCACGTTCCCTTGCCCTGAAAACGAAACACTTCATTCAACAGGAATTAACGGTCCAACCAACATTACCCTCAGCAAAACTGGAGGGTCTAAGGCTTTCCTAAGAAGCAAGACTTGGCTCGTACAAGAACCACAGTCACGGTCATGAACTTCATACAGAGAACTATGGGGATAGTTAATCCGAGACCTAAGAATCCACCACACGTATGCAACCTTCAATCAGTCAATTCTCTGTTCACACAAGTGTACTCTCGAACGCTAGGAAATGCAGAAGGCATACTTTGGCCTCGAGAGGATGCTTGGGAAAGTCCGGGGTGTCTTAGCAGTCCTGCCATGTCTAAACAGCCGAAAAAAACAGCAGGACGGCGCTAAAGGCACACAGAAAACGAACCTTCACATCAACTGTTCCTCTCAGCTCAGTTTTATATTCTGGGTAGAACTTGGCAAGCATGTCATGGGCACTTTCTGACATTTGGATCTTCTCCGGTTCGCTTGTTGATTCCATTCTGGATGCCATATTAACCTGAAATTGAGGAGTGTAGTGTAAAGTTGTCGAGTTAACCGGATCTGCTTTGCACTACACAATATAGCTATC